ACATGGTGGCTCACAGCCGTCTGTAATGAGATCTGCAGACATTATGGAAGCAAGATGTTGTGTTTACAATAAATAAATCTTAAAAAAAGAAAGAAAGAAAAATCCTACTGCAACCTGCTTTTTATGTAATGTTTTTGCTAACCACGGGGTTTGGTCTTAGCTGAGCACAAGGATTAAGGAGCCGAGTAACGTTCTAGCCTGATGGACAGAGCTTTGAGTCCCTGCTCTGCCTCATAACATTTTTGGAAAAAACTGCTAGGCTTCTGAGAGCCCTGTTTTCCTCATCTGCAAAGTGATCACAATAAGATTATGTGTTGCATCTCAAGATTCTTGTGTGATTTAAATGAATATGTGCCTTGCTCTGGGACAATTCCCATCAAAGAATTCCTTTGTCCCCAAGTAGTAGAGTTTCCTATTGGCCACACAGAATTTGACAGGCATATTTATCAGATATCTGCTATGAGTCTGAAGGGAAAACAGCTTGAGCTACTCCTAAGAAGGATTGTTGATCCAAAGGCAAATTAAGGACCAGGCACAGGGGAGTTCTGGGCCTAACAGCTTGACAGAAACTTACAAAGACAAAAGGTAGACTCCCCCCCAATAGACCCCCCTCCACACTCCAGAAGAACAAAGGTCACCCTGAGAAGCCACTGTAGCTTTGGTTGGCCAGCAGGAGGTAAGAGAAACCTCTGCAAACAACTTCACATCCGAGCCTCTGTTTGTCTTTGCCACCCAGAGAGACTCAAAGACTGGTCCATCTATCCTGTCTTTTGTTCTTTTCTTTTCTTCTCTCTCTCTGTCTCTCTCTCTTTAAGCACTGCGGGTAGGGGTGGGTGGGTGGGTAGATGGGGATTCTACCCAGGGCCTCACACCTGCTAGGCAAGAGCTTTGTTGTTAAAGGTAACATTCCATGCCACCTCTGCTCCCTTCATTCTCCTAGTGTCTCAATGTATAGGGAACGCAACAGTTGGTAGGTTGTTTTTTTTTTTTTCCTTTGTTAATCTCTTTTGTAACCAGGGTCCGTTTTAATAAAGAACTTATTGGGGGCTCCTTTCGCCCACAAAGCCTCTGAGTAACTGTTGGTTGCCTTAAATGAAGAGCTTCAGGCTGACCAAATCCCATCTGCTGCTCTATGCACAGAGGAAATGAACACAGGACACGGGTGTGGTTGAGGTGACAGAGGAGAGGAGTTCAGTGGGGTGCTGGGGATGTGGCATTTAAGTGATAAACACGGTCAAAGATGGCGTGGTGTGGAATGGTGTTCGGATGCAATATTAATCCCAAAGATAGGAAGAGAAAGAGAAAGAGCGCCAACCCAAATCATCATGACCAAATTAATTAAAGCAAGGTTTTTGTTTGTTTGTTTGTTTTTTAATCCCTGTTCACAGGCTGCCTCCCCCTAAAGTGGGATTCGAGAGGTCAGCATTGGATGTGAGGAAGACAGGGCTTTCTTTTTTCTTAGTTCAGCTCAGGGGTAGGAGGTTTCCAGATTTTGGAGGGCAAAATAGGCAGGGTTACAGGAACAGAACATAGTAACAAGTTAGTCCTAACAACCTCCTGAAACAAAGACAGGGTTGCAAGGTGGGCATGACAAGGTAGTCATAACAACAGGTGGTCAAAACAAAGTAGCCAGACCTTTGAAACAAAGGTATGGCTGCAAGAAGTTATATACAATGTTGTAAAATGAAGACACCATTGGCAGTCCTAGAGCAGGCAGTGCCAAACCATTTGTAGTTAAGGTTACATACAGGTAGGGCATAGCCCAGTCCCTGAGAAAAGGAGGTTTAATGTAAACAGGAATGGACTTAGTTTTGGGGTAGCTTTTAAGCCTAAAATGGACGTAACAAAGTAGCAAAGACTCTTCAGGTGTGGGAGCTGAGACACAGCAGAGGCTCCCCCAGGACTGGGTAGGTGATCTGGTCTAGGGTGGCAGTTTGTGTCCGGGAGCCTGGCTCCTCACCTTCGTATTCCTTCTCTGTGTTCCTCTGGTCCTTTTCCCTCCTGACAGGAAAGATGCTGTAGTCTTCCAGCCAGGAAGAAGGAGGCAAGAGTGAGGTAAGCATGGGCACTCCATTTCAGAATGTAACCTGGGGGAGAAACAGCTCATTTGGCTAAGTGTGTGCTGTACAAGCCTAAGGACCTGAGTTCTAATCTCTAGCACACATACATATTAAGAAGCCAAATGCCAGTGCAAGGTTGGGTTGTGACAGGCAGGTCCCTAAAGCTATCTGGCCAGCTAGTCTAGTCAGCTGTTGAGTGTTGGGCTCAATGGGAGACCCTTTCTCAAAAGATAAGGTAGAGAACAATTGAAGACAGCATCCAACTTTGATCTCTGTGTTTGTATGCATGCACACACATGTGCATACATACCTTCATGCACACACATATACTAAACACATACATCCACATGAAGAACATGACTGGGAATAACACACATTCCTGCCATTGCTTAGTCACATGACTACAACTAGCAACGGGGACTGGGAAAAAAGTAGTCCTGGTTGTAGGCATTTCGGGCTGGATGGGGATGGGGATGGGGATGGGTCAGGTATTCTGGCGCTCGGGAGTCACAGAATACTGAGTGTTAGACAGCTCAGGTGGAAAGGTATCCTGGAGCTTGGGAACCACAGAATACCTAGTGTTACACAGCTCAGATGGAAAGGTATCCTGGAGCTTGGGAACCACAGAATACCTAGTGTTACACAGCTCAGATGGAAAGGTATCCTGGAGCTCAGAAGCCAAGGACCACCACAGGTTGTAGTAAGCTTAGCAGCTTACAGCCTTGCCTCAGGGAAAGGCTTCCCCAGTGTATCAGCTCTGCTCCAGCAGGACAGGGTCTTCCAGCTGGGGATGTTCTCCCAGTGTAGCAGTTTTGCTCGGCTGGAGGTTTCTTGGGTGAAGTTGCTGCAGTTCAGCTCTGCTCCCAGAGAGCAGAGCTCTGCCAAGGGAAGGCTTCCCCCTCTGCTCTGCCCAGGGTCACCCCTGCTCTGTTGCCGCCCTTCACCTAAAGCTCATCCAAGGCGTTTATTGGGAGGGAAGGATCCAGGAGTGCAGCTGCCCTCTGCCAGAGTAGCAAGAACAGACACAAGCTGAACAGACATAGGGTTTATATAGGGCTTCCAGGGTGGGGATTGGTTGGATTTTAGTGCTGAGCTCAGATTGGCTAGAGCTCTGCTCAGGGATTGGTTAGATTTCTGCACAGGATTAGGGTCAGATTTGTCTCTGGTTTCAGAGCCAAAGTGTGTTTCTTTCTCTGGTCCTTTTTAGCCTTTTGGCTCCAATTTTAGGGCCAGGGTGCATTTCTTTCACTGACTCTGATTCCAGGGGCAAAGTGTGGGTTTTTTTTTTTTTTGGCACTGGGTACATTTGTTTAGTTCTGGTTGAAGGGCCAAAGTGTGTTTCTTTGGCTCTGCTCAGGGTGTGTTTCTTTGACTGGTCCCTTTTCCTTATACTGGTAAGTTGTTATGCAACCAGTTTTTTTTAATGGGAATTTTATTATTAAAGGAAGGAGAGAATCTTAGGGGACAGTACAGCCTTTGGGAAATGGCTAAGAGGATGGTGATAAAAATGGTTCAGGTCATAGAAGAACTCAGCTTTGAGTGAATAAAGGAGGATGGATATCAAGAGAACAGAAATGGCAGCTGCTGGTCTGAGAGGCAGAGCCATTGCCCACCCCAGGTCCCATGGATGGATACTAAAGGAGGCAGTAAGATAGGAAGCCAACAAAGACCAGATCAGTGACTCACTGGGGCAGTAGTTTCCTGGCCTGGTAGGGTTATAAAAGAGACTCGGGCTGGCACATGACTGCTTCACAGCCTTTTCTAGACTGTCCGGTTCTAGCTGTGAGTTTTCTCTGATGCATGAGTCTCTTGTTCACTAAATTGTGCTCCTGTTTGTTTGCTTACACAAACTCATCCCATTCATCTGCACTTGTGGTCTGGATGTAACAGCACCAAAGAAAGAGGTTCTATTTGTGTGTGTGTGTGTGTGTGTGTGTGTGTGTGTGTGTGTGTGTGTGTGTGTGTGTGTGTGTGTCCGTCCCTAGGCACATTAGACAAATGTTCTTTCCACTGAACTATATCTCTAGCCCCAAACTGGTAGTTTTCTGAAATAATTTAGATGTTCTCTTGCCGTTTTAGGAGTGATGGCTGTGATTATCTTTCAGAATCTCAGGATTTTGCAAGGTGTGGTGGCTTGAGAGACTGCAATCCCAGCTCTTGGGAGGTAGAGACAGGAAGGCCAGGAGTTCAAGTCCATTCTTAGCTACATAGTAAGTTTGCGGCCAGTCTGGAATATACAAAATCTTGTCCTGGAAAAAAAAATCCCCAGCTTTGCAATCCTGAGATTGCTTTGAAAGTTTCTGTCCAAGAATAAGGCAGCTCTGAACCAGCAAGGAACCAAATGGGAGAGGTGTGCCAGCCTATTTCTAAAACCATAAACATTCCATCTCCATCCTCTCTCTCTCTCTCTCTCTCTCTCTCTCTCTCTCTCTCTCTCTCTCTCTCTCTCTCTCTTTTGACACAGGTTTTCTCTGTGTAGCCTTGTAGACCAGGCTGGCCTTAAACTCACAGAGACCCACCTGCCTCTGCCTCCTGAGTAGTGTTGGGATTAAAGGTGTGCGCCACCACAGCCTGGCCTCCATCCTCATTTTAACCATTCTGATAGTACCATCTTTGGGGCTGCTCTACTGTGACCTTGTCTGATTGGGAGTCCTGTTTCTAATCCAGTAACTGGGCTTCTCGGCCAGGGTCCAGAAAGCCTGAGCGAGAACCTGTCTTCTCTACAGTGACTCGTGCTGACCTGAGCATGCCGTCACTCAGCTCAGACCATCGGCCCCTCTCTGTACAAATGCACCATAGGTGTGCTCCTCACTCGACGAGCTCTAAAGTGAGCAAAGCACACCCAGACCCACTCTCTCCGTATCTTTCAGATGCAACTGGTTCCTTGTAGGAGGAGCACACAGCTCATCTATCCTACTCCGGCAGCTGTCTGTGTTCTGTGACGACTGTACGTGGCTTGTCCTGCTCAGTGCCCAGTGTCCTTCATCAGCCGACACTGGCTCACCACCGTTCCTTCACGTCTCACCTTTGAAGCATGAACGTAAGTCAACTGAACACATGATACTTCAGTATATGTAATACATGACCTTTGAAATGCAGAGATTTCTGTCTAATATTCTAATATTCGGCTGTATTGATCCAGCAGCAGAGAGGAGAGAAAAATCAAAGCCAATTGTCTGGCAGGGGAACAAAAGGCTTTGCCGACTCAGATGGCATTGCATATTAAGAACAAATGTTTTGAGTGGCTCACATTGTTTTGACTTTTAGGTTATAGAGAGTTAATTAGGGCCGTAACCAATGACTTGCAAGAATGCTCACCTCTGTTCTATTGAACGGCCTAAGGGATGCTATTGGTTTCACAATGTACAGTTGCAGGTGCTGAGACTTGGGTTGGCTCAGTTTTCCTGCTGCTTCTTCCTGGTCTTCTTGTAGTGAAAGGACTGAGTTAATATGGATGACGACAATAACACAGGTGCCTTTCCCCTGTCTCCCCCAGAACCCACCAATCTGAGAGCACAGAGGGGCTCCCCTTGAGTAAGGGAGCTGAGGGTGGCATTTGTGGTTAATGCCCTTGGCACACACTGGCAGGGACACATGAGAACAGCGTCCCTCAATGAGTGCAGGTGGTTTCTTGACTCGGGTAAAAAAGAGTCTCATTGTCTCTTTGTGTCCTCGGATTCATTTAAGTTTCAGACAAAGCACCGAGTGACACCGTAGAAGACAGGAAGGGCAAAGAGGGAGCCACAGACAAAGAAGTAGTCTGGGAGACAGGGGAAATAAAAAAAGAAGGAAAGAAAATCCCTAGGGTACCTTAGGAGCAGCCCAGCCTAAGCACGGTCAGAGGAGAGAGGGTCTTGCGCATGTTAATCATCTCCAGTTGCATACGTGTGTGTCCCTCTGTATTGAAATATGTTAAATGATCCACTGGCCACAGCCTCTCAACTTCACCTGTGTCTCAGCCTGAATGACAATCACACAGGTTCAGTAACAGAAGCAAGGGTAGCCAGGAAGGAAGCCTTGGGTGAAGGGTGGGTCTCAGGATGGGCTGCTGGGCAACTTACCTCGGCCTCTCTTTACCAGGCAGGGCAAGTGGCAGGTGTTTGCCCATCTGCAAGATCCCAAGGGATGCTGAACTTTTTATATCCCAAGCCTGGCCATGCAAAACACGGGGGATCAGGGATTGAGGCTGCTCTACGCTTCAGTTAGGCCACTGGTCCCGATGAAGTGATGACTTTGGCACGACCGGGTCAGGTCCAGGTCAGGACTTCTCTGCCTGCCTGCCTTCAGTGCTTCTCACATTGCATGTGCTACAGAATCTAGTTTACTGGCTTCACCTCCCCAATCCACTCAAACAGGGCAGGATCCCAGAGGCAGGAGCTGATGCAGAGACCGTGAAGGGTTGCTGCTTTACTGGCTTACTTCAGCTGACTTGTCCAGCCTGCTTTCTTATAGAACCCAGGGGAGCCAGCCCAAGGGATGGCACCACACATCATGGGCTGGGCCCTCCCTCGTTGATCACTAGCTGAGAAATTGACTTACAGCTGATGACTCTAGCTTGTGTCAAGTTGACACCCAAACCCAGCCAGTACAGGTTCTCTCTGTTATGTTTTTCTTGATGTCCTGGGATTCACTAAGCAGACCAGACTGATCTCAAACTCCCAGCAGTCTACCTGCTTCTGCCTCCCTAGGACAGGGATTAAAGGTGTGTGCCACCATGCCCGGTTTCTCCTGTTCTGTCAACATAAGCCAAACTACCCTTTTAAAAAATTCCTTCTCCTTTGACAAATGCCCCAAATGTGAGTTTTAAGCTGATTTTTTTATAACTAAAGGACAAAATGTGGTTTATAATCTATTCCCTTTAACTCACAAAAAATTGCATAGATTTACATACACACACACACACACACACACACACACACACACACACAGACCTAGACTGTTCAAGGGTGAGTTTGATTTACCTTTCTGAAATCTGTATCAAGACCAAACTTTTAAATAGTAGAAGTGACGCTGCAATGATAAACGGCACACTTATTGAAAGTATAAGTAAGTATTTATTGTAGAAATTACTCACAAGAGACAAGCAAGTAACCCAGATGAGCCGAGTAGTTTTCCACCACCGAACTGGAAGCTGGAAAAGAGAGCGAGACTTCCGCTGTTCAGTTTTTTATACCTTCCTCCGTACACGCCCCTAGCCATGCCCAAAAGTGGGCCTGGCTAGTGACATAGTTCACCGCCTATATCTGTATACGTCTTTAGTCATGCCTAAAGTGGGTGTGGTTAGTGGTACGGTAAACCGCCCTTTTATTTCTTCATCTGTATGTGCCTCTAATAAGTCACATGGTTAATGGCGGAACACTGTTTCCTCCTACATAGAAGTTTATATCATACCGGGTAAACTTCAAGCAGTTATGTAATGAGAACATCCTGAAGGAGCTGGGGAACCCAGGTCACCTCCTGAGATGCCTCCTAGTCTTCTTCAACAGCTAGTGATTATACAGTGAGCCCATGTCAGGGGATTGGTGACATAGACAGCCCTGGGCTCAGCTTCCCTGAACTTAGGGTTTTCACTGTCAGGTTGAGAGTGAGACCAGATTCGGTAAGTGTGGCTTGCTGTAGCTGGTAAGGCCTGAGCCTGGCATGGGAACCTTTTGCAGACTTGGTGCTGGCCAAAGCTACCCTTGAGCCTGAGTTACAGAACCCACAGGAATGAATTTTGAGTACACACCATGTTCAGGTTCCCAGGAGAAAGGAAGCTTAAATGTCTCATTTAAGAGAGAAACCAGAAACACACCACGGGGCCGAGTCTAAGGGTGACCATGCAATTCAGGGGCGGATGGAATCACTAACGCTTTTCAGAACAGCTGACGGAATTTCAGGACTTTTATCTTGCATTTTATTTTCTTTTTAAGCCTTTGAAGCTGAAAATATTTGAGAATGAATGTATGGGTGTGAGGTTTTTTTTGGCAGAGTAGGAAAAAAAATTGTCATTCTGAATCCAGGTTTGACTTGGACAAGGAGAGACTTACAAAAACACCAGGAAGACAGAAATTTATGAAAATCGTATTTACTTAGGGCTGAAGGGAAGGTTTCTGTCTAGCCTGAAAGTGATGTCATATGACGAGGCGGAAACACTGAGAGAGTGCCCTGAGGTGGTGTTCCCCAATGCTTTGTTCCACAGAACTTAAGTCTCATGAGATGCTTATTGACAGAGGGCTTCTCTGTCTGGTAACTTTGGGGACCCTCGTAGTCCTTGAGACAGGCTTTCAGGAACCCCGAGACAAATCTTTCACGGTAGACTCAGTAGGTTCTCAACAATGGCTCTCTTGCTCATTGTGACAGTTTGATGTGTATAACATGTTCAAGCATATAATCTGTAATGATGAAGTTGAGGTAATTTAACATTTCCACCTCACTAAAGTGGTGACCACTTCTTTGTGTTGGGTACTTTTGAGCCCTTTTTCTCTTTTAAATACTTATTTTTGTTTATAAGAGTATGTGTTTGTCTGGGTATGTATGAGTGAGTGCAGTGTTCCTGAAGACCAGAAGAGGGCACCAGGTTCCCCTAGAGCTGGAGTTACAAGCAGTAGTTGTGAGCTGCCTGCTGTTGGTGCAAGGAACTGAACTCAGGTCCTCTACAAGAGCAGTGTTAAGTTCTTAACAGCTGAACTATCCCTCCAGCGCCTCTTTTTTTTTTTTAAAGATTTACTTATTTATTACATATACAGTGCTCTGCATACATACCAGAAGAAGGCACCAGATTGAATTTTAGACGGCTGTGAGCCACCATGTGGTTGCTGGGAACTGAACTCAGGACCTCTGGAAGAGCAGTAGGTGCTCTTAACCTCTGAGCCCCCTTTCCAGCCCCTGTTAAACCAAGTGTGTATCTTGTAAACAACAACCACTCTCTATGTAGTACTTGTTCTCCTTTTGTTGTTGTTGTGAGAAATGTGACTGTCTGAGAGAGAATGGGCTCAGACTTGGGGATGAATCTTCATCGTTCGACGGTGACGTGGAAGGAATGCGTGGCTCAGGGTTGCGGGTCAGGGACAGGTAAAGGGATGGGACAGCCTGTGACTTGTGGGAAGGAAGAGACGTTGTGAAGGAGAAATGCATTTATTTTGTGCATCAGCATAAGGATGTAGGAGAGGCTATGGTGCCTGGAGCTGTGGCTGCCACCCTGTGATCCTGAGGAGAAGGCAATGAGAATGTAGGTAGAGGATGCCCATCTGGTGCCCAGACGTTGGAGCCACTGAGTTGAGCTTCCTCCACTCGGCCCCGCTCTGTGCCTGTCTGCAGTGTCAGCAAATGTTGCTGTTGGTTGACTAAATGTCCTCACAGTTGGAAACACAGGTCGCCAGAGATGGAATACCACACCAAGGAAGGCACCCCCCCATTCCCCCACCCCCCGCCATGCTTCCCTCCAGGTTTGAGCTATCGGACAACAGAGTGTTGTTACTGCAGAATCTCTGCCAACACACCCTCTCCAGGTAATATGCAGTCTGCGGAACTCACTCCTGCTAACACCTTTCTTGGGTAGTGTAGTTTGTGGGGTGCATTTCTGAAAATACTGGTGGGAAGGGACTTTGAGAGTGGGGTCTAGGGTGACCCCCTCGATCCTTAGGATTGGGTGAGAGCCTCGGTGCTCATTTTCTGGGACACAATGGAACCTCTAAGAGTCAGGGACTAATGTGAGATCTCTGGGTACTGGGAGTGTGTCCTCCGAGGGGGTAATGAGATCCCAGACTCTTCCTGCTTCCCCTTTGTTCTCTATCCATCAAGAAAGCCCCCTTTTTTTTTTTCTCTGCCATATATTCCCACTATAGTGCGCTGCTACTTTGTTTCTCCGGTTTCTCAAGAGCATTAGGACAGTTTCAAATGGGGATAAGACAAAGACATAGCTGAGTGAACCCTTTAAGAATCTTGCACCTGTTTGGTGGGGGTGGTCTTTCTGTATATGTGTTTCTCTTATTGGTTAATGAATAAAAAACCGTTAGCCAATATGGCAGGAAGATAGGCAGGACTAGGAGACAAGGAGAA